TCCTCCCCCTTTCTTAGGGTTTTTTGTCACACACTTTACTTGATTATCGACATGGCCGGAATCAGGGTACAGCCGGACGATGCAGACGTCTCGCAGGCAGCGCGGCAGGTGGCCGCCGTTGATCTGATCTCCGATGACGATCGGTCTGTGACGGCTGACTCCTGGTCCATCAAGAGCGAGTACGGCAGTACTCTCGATGACGAGCAGCGCCACGCTGATGCTACTGAAGCCCTCTCCGCTGCCGCCTATCGTGCCCCATCAGAATACAGGTCCTCTCTCTCACTCATTTCACTAATCCTCCACAACTTCATGGCTTTTTCTTAGGAAATTTTCCTCTATGATATGAGTGCGGAAGAAAATGAACCTCGTAATTAACAAGGGTCCATGCAATTTGTGGACTTGATTTTACTTCATTTATCCGTATATTTCGTTAATTTTAAATGATATTTCAAATAGGTGAGTAAAATAATGTTTGGGAAGTGTTTATAAATGGTTTATAAACATGAGCCAAACATAGGCTAAATCAATGCTGGAAATATTGATATATTAGGCTGTTGACATAAAACTAAATCTGGAAGGTGAATTATGGTAAGAGTTCATAACATCGCAACAATTTTGATGGGGGTAAAGTAGTATATTTCCAGAAGGAAATGGACACTTCATTAACATGTCAATGTTTTCTATGGACTTTATTTTTATTGATTTTATCCTATATATTTTCTGAATTATTAATGCAAAATTTGTATATGTGGGAATTATGATTGAATTTATTACAATATAACAATCTAACATCGATGGAGTTTAATTTTGTGAACAATTTGCTATTCAATTCTTATGATGAATAGAAGAGAGAAGTTCTTATAATAAACCAAGAAATATTTCTTACTTGTATTCGGATGTCACGCCCTTTGACCACGATACTAATAAAATACTCTACTATTTGTTCAAAAGGAATTATTGTTGCCTGATCACAAACTCTATGCTCTAGGGGTCAGTTACCCAAAGTTTATAAAATATCATTATTGCAATGAGCAGTTCTGACAAGGAGGAGCCAGATGCTGAAGCAGTTTCATCATTGCTGGGTTTTCAGAGTTATTGGGACACTACATATGCAGATGAGTTGGCAAATTTTCGGGAGCATGGTCATGCTGGTGAAGTTTGGTAAGCGGTGCCATGATTTTGTAAGTTTTATTTGTTAAATGTTCACCTCTGGTCAGTGTCATTCAACTTTTCTGAGACACACTTCATGCTTTCTAATTGGAATTTAAAAACATGGAAAGTGGTTGTAACTTCTAGACATTTTTGGAGTGCAGTTGTCAACTTCACATGAATATTTTCTCCTATATTTGGTATGCCTAGCTGAAAATAGTATCTGAATGAATTGTTATAAAGAGAACAAGTATAAGCATAATTTTTACCATACCTTGTCCTTCAGTGGATCATATACAAATTCAGAACTTTTTCACCATCTGTAAGGGCTATGAATCGGTAAAATTTTCAGGTCTTATCCCCTCTCTGGAGACGGATTATTCTAGGAGGTGGACTCCATAACCTTCAATATTAGTACTTCAGTAAGTTTCACTCTTGCTAAGCTCTCTTGGGGTTGGGGGATAGCAAATGTGTTTGGCCATTGCATCATGGACATGGGAAGGATTGTATTTCTCACATGCCCCATTTAGGTTACTGGCAACTTCAGACCAGGGGCTATCTTTAGGGGCTCTGACAAGATATCTCGGAATCTTGCTGCTCTTAAGAAACTTGGATATTTGCTTCTTTTTATCCTATGGCTCTTAGACTCATCCTGTTTTAAGGGAGTTGTAGGAAATTCTATGTTATATGCATGTATATCCACGATCTACTACTTAATGCTTTCTGCTATATTTCTTCTGGTCATCTGATAATTATTAAACATTAACAATGTTGTTCTTCTTCTTAATTATATTTTCTTCTGGTCATCTAATAGTTATTATTTAACACAGTTCGATTGTAAACCTCCATATTCAATATACTCACAAATACAATGACAAACATGACATCCTGCTTTTTGAGCCTGGGAAAATCAGCAAAACAAAAATCTGGGAAGAGGTCACTGGAATGAGTTTACATAACACTGAACCTCATCCCTATTATATCCTCTTGGCGCCCTTGCTTGGAAAAACAATATGTGAAACTGTAATTTTGGAGCTGATCTTGATGCAATATTCTATATATTTCCCATTTTGTAGGTTTGGAGCTGATGTGATGGAAATTGTTGCTTCTTGGAGCAAAAACTTATGCATTGGAATATCTCAACGTCACTTGCCAAATCATGTAGATATTGCGAATGATTTGTCTGCTGGAGAGCCTGAAAATGAGTTGTCTAACTGGAGC